TCTCCCACATCTTTCTTGATCTCAAATGACACCTCCTCCATTTGCTGTTGATCAATGGAGACATCAAATTCAGCTCTGGCTGGCTTCATCTTCATTTCGATCTCAACTTTCTCTTCACTGACTGGTTCTACCTTCAATTCAGCATCTACCACAGCTGGTTTGGGCTTTTCTTCTGGTGTCAGTTCCAGTTGAAAGCTTACTTCCTCAGATGGTCTTTCAAAGTCTACTTCAGCTGATGTTACCTGTGGTTCTTCTACACTTTTCTTGATCTCAAATGACACTTCTTCCATTTGCTGTTGCTCAATGGAAAGCTCAAATTCAGCTTTTGCTGGCTTCATCTCCACTTCAACCTCTACTTTCTCTTCACGTACTGGTTCTTCTACAGGTACTTCAACCTCAAGTCTAACCTCTTCCTGAATTACAGGTTCTTCTTCAACAGGTTTGGTAATTTCAACTGGCATAATTTCTTCCACAGGTTCTGGCCCTTGTACAGGTTCTATAGAAAAGTAATATTATGTGATATGTATGAAAAGCTCAAAACAATACACAGTAAATACACTGTAACATTCAGTAAAGCATTTGTGAACATACATTACAATGATATGTCAAATAGTTGATGTGGCCTTAACAATGTGTTATAACCTCCAAGATGAATAGTCAAAGTTTAAATTATTTACAACTTACAAAAAACATTTACTTACTGAATTGTCATAGTAAGCATTCTAACTGGTTTTAACAAATATTGTGATGATGGTATATGATTGGTTATTCTGTTGAGCTTACTTTACACATCATCAAGTATTTAGGCGTATAAAACTAACTTTAATCTATGACATATAATTCCATTCTACTTACCAGGTGTTGTTGGCTTTTCAATTAGTGTAACTGTAAAACTAGCTCTTTCTTCTCCCAAGTCATTTGTAGCTTTGCACACATATTTACCACCATCTTTAGGTTTGCTCTCTTTAATAATAAAGATGTGTTCATTGGTGTCTTTATCAAAAGTCACAGTGTATTCATTGCCTTCTTGACAGTGTTTCCATCCTTTGAACCAGCTCACAGTTGGAGTTGGGATGCCATGGACTTTGCAGCGAATTTCAGCAGGATAAGCTGTAGAATGAGAAAGTTCCAGTAAAATCATACTCAGGCAGTTCAGGATAGCATCACCCTCCACTGAGCACCAGCCGATACAATTACCATACTGCCTCCATGCATACTTTGAAGTGTTCTCGTGATAACTTCATTTTATTGCAAGTTTTGAAAAGCAACCAAAAGACAAAAAATAATCCTATGTATTGTAATACATCGACTCCATAAAGATTTCACACAATGCAAACACTTTGTCAATATTATAGTGATGAACTAAGTTCAACAGCATGATTGTGTGTTTCTAGTGAAAACAGAGATTTCAATGTTCAGTATATCTCACTTATACACAATAAATTAACCAAATTAACCAATGCATAGTATAGTATACTGACCTTTGACAGCTTCTTTGTCTTCAGGTTTAATGACAAATGTTGGTGGACATTTAGCAGCTAAAATATAATTATAAGCATATGAGACATAAACACATGTAAGTTGTTGAAAACCAATAATTTAAAATTGTCAGGGAAATGTCCTAATCATGAAAATTGTTTCTTTTAACACCTTATTTATACTTCAATAATACTAATAAACAACTTACGTAGTACAAACAGTTCAGCTCTGCAGGTTTCAGATCCTACTTTATTCACAGCCTTCACTTCAAATTCTCCTTCATCGTCCATACTGACTTCTACAATTTTCAAAGTACAGATGCCACTCTCACTGTATTCTACCACATAATGGTCATCTTCATCTATTTGGACACCATCCAAATACCATGTCACTTCTGGTCTTGGAGATCCTGTCACTTCACATTTGAATACAACACGTTGGCGCTCTTCAACTTCTTGTTCATCAATCTTTCTGACAAACACTGGTGGTTCAAGTGCCTTTTCAATCTCGATGGCTTCTTTTCTAGCTTGGAAACCTCTGAATGCAGCTTGAATCTGAACAGCAGCTTTTTCAACATCTTTGTCTTCTAAATCAATGTCAATAACTTCTTCTTCATCTCCAACTGGTGCTTCAATCAAATCAGCCTCTACTAAAGTTGGTTTGGGTTTCTCTTCTGGTGTCAGCTCCAGTTCAAAGCTTACTTCCTCTGATGGCCTATCAAATGCAACTTCAGCAGAGGTAACTTGTGGTTCTCCCACGTCTTTCTTGATCTCAAATGAAACCTCTTCCATTTGGTGTTGGTCAATGGATACATCAAATTCAGCTCTTGCTGGCTTCACCTGCATTTCAACCTCAACTTTTTCTTCACTGACTGGCTCTACCTTCAATTCAGCATCTACCACATATGGTTTTGGCTTTTCTTCTGGTGTCAGCTCCAGTTGAAAGCTTACTTCCTCGGAGGGTCTTACAAATTCGACTTCAGCAGACGTAACCTGTGGCTCTTCTATGTCTTTCTTGATCTCAAATGACACCTCTTCCATTTGCTGTTGCTCAATGGAAACCTCAAATTCAGCTCTGGCTGGCTTCATCTCCACTTCAACCTCTACTTTCTCTTCACTGACTGGTTCTTCTACAGGTACTTCAACCTCAAGTCTAACCTCTTCCTGAATTACAGGTTCTTCTTCAACAGGTTTGGTAATTTCAACTGGCATAATTTCTTCATCTATTTCACAAACTTCTTCTACTGGTTCTGGCTCTGGTACAGGTTCTGTAGTAAAAAAATGTTCTATTACATGTATGAAAACAGAGAGCACAGTAAAGGGAGAAAAACATTCAAATCAATAATTGTGATCATACATTAGGATGATGTATCGAATATTTAATTTATTCTTCAGGTACCCTTAACAGTGGGTTGATTCAACAAGATGAAAACTAAATTGTGGCAGTTTACAAGAACTTCATTGATTGTGGCTTAGACTGAAATGTGATCACTTTTTTTTCAAACAAACAAACAAACAAACAAACATGACATATCTTCCTTGCTGTATGCCTTTAATCTTTCACCAACTGAATCTTTAGTTATTAGCTGTTTTATAACCTGTCTCTCAGTTGTTTGTTTCTTTGTTTTACTTCACATATTGCGAAGGATGTCAAGATGTTGTTTCTACTTACATATCAACATGTTTTTTTTTTATAAAAACAAACTTAATTCAATAACATATTATATAAGGTGACTCACCAGGTGTCGGTGGTTTCTCAATTAGTGTAACTGTAAAACTGGATTTTTCTTCTCCCAAGTCATTTGTGGCTTTACACACATATTTACCGGCATCTTTAGGTTTGCTTTCTTTGATAATAAAGATGTGTTCATTGGTGTCTTTATCAAAAGTCACAGTGTATTCATTGCCTTCTTGACAGTGTTTCCATCCTTTGAACCAGCTCACAGTTGGAGTTGGGATGCCATGAACTTTGCAGCGAATTTCAGCAGGATAAGCTATAGGACAAGAAAATGCAATAACATATAATTTTCAACAGGTTTGAAAAGCTGCAAATGACAAACAACCGACATTACAATTGAAATTGATGCCTTAGTAATTAATTATTAGGTCATTCACATTACTGAAAGCGGTAAAAACAATGTTTTCAATAGCAAGAATAGTAAAAAAAAAAGTACTATGGTCACAATTTGCCATGAGGTTACTCATCAAACAAACATTGGCATGGCAAACACTAGTATATTCGCCTATGTCTAAGTAAATGACGTATACGTTATAACTGATAACTTTCAAAGAATGTCTGAATCACATTTTTTATCCCTGCTGCTACCTTAAATTAATCAAAGACCAGCACAATAAACTCACCTTTCACAGCTTCTTTGTCTTCAGGTTTAATGACAAATTTTGGTGGACATTTTGCAGCTGAAATAAAATAACAAGTATATAAGATGTACATAAGTTGATAGACAAGTCCTTGTCAATGACATATTCCCCATTTATATATTTGGCTGAATTAGTATTCGAATATACCATTGTTTCAATACAATTGGCCCTGGGATGCCTGAGAATGACTGCTGATATGTTAAAATATAGTGATTTGAGTATTTTTTTGGACAAAAATGGTGGCCACTCAAACTGAACAAAATTATTTACACCACAATTTTTGTCTTAACTTTGCACACACAAAAAAAAAGTGAAAGTGTATCTGAGAAACAGGTAGCACGGACAAAAGTTTGTTTTGGATCTAAAAAAATAGCGAGTCAGTCAAATGTAAATATAACCCAAAACAAAGGACATCCATATGTATGTTATTTTAGACTTGCTTTTGTACCACGTTCAACAAAATCCTTTGAGTTTTCTGAAAAATTATGTTGAATAGAAGCATGCACTGCCAATGTGTTTTACATGACAGGTCCAATAAGGACTAAAAAGCAAGAATTTAAACTGTTGAGAATTAAACAAATCAAGATAATTGATTTTGGTACACTAATTATTTTTCACTTCAATAGTACAAAAAACAACTTACGTAGTACAAATAGTTCAGCTCTGCACACATCAGATCCTACTTTATTCACAGCCTTCACTTCAAATTCTCCTTCATCGTCCATACTGACTTCTACAATTTTCAAAGTACAGATGCCACTCTCACTGTATTCCACCACATAATGGTCATCTTCATCGATTTGGACACCATCCAAATACCATGTCACTTCTGGTCTTGGAGATCCTGTCACTTCACATTCGAATACAACACGTTGTCGTTCTTCAACTTCTTGTTCTTCAATTTTTCTGACGAACACTGGTGGTTCAAGAGCTTTTTCAATCTCAATGGCTTCTTTTCTGGCTTGGAAACCTCTGAATGCAGCTTGAATCTGAACAGCAGCTTTTTCAACATCTTTATCTTCTAAATCAATGTCAATAACTTCCTCTTCATCTCCAACTGGTGCTTCAATCAAATCAGCCTCTGCTAAAGTTGGTTTGGGTTTCTCTTCTGGTGTCAGCTCCAGTTCAAAGCTTACTGCTTCTGATGGTCTTTCAAATTCTACTTCAGCAGATGTAACCTGTGGCTCTTTTACATCTTTCTTGATTTCAAATGACACCTCTTCCAGTGACTGTTGATCAATGGATACCTCAAATTCAGCTTTGGCTGGCTTCATCTTCATTTCAATCTCAACTTTCTCTTCACTGACTGGTTCCACCTTCAATTCAGCCTCTACCACAACTGGTTTGGGTTTTTCATCTGGTGTCAGCTCCAATTCAAAGCTTACTTCCTCAGATGGTCTTACAAATTCGACTTCAGCTGATGTAACCTGTGGCTCTTCTATGTCTTTCTTGATCTCAAATGACACCTCTTCCATTTGCTGTTGGTCAATGGAAACCTCAAATTCTGCTCTGGCTGGCTTCATCTCCACTTCAAAATCTACTTTCTCTTCACTGACTGGTTCTTCCACAGGTACTTCATCTTCAAGTGTAATCTCTTCCTGGATTACAGGTTCTTCTTCAACAGGTCTGGCAATTTCAACTTTCATCACTTCTTCAACTAGTTCCAAAACTTCTTCTACAGGTTCCGGCTCTTGTACAGGTTCTGCAGAAGACATTGGCAGAATATCAAGTAGTGTTATGAAAGTTAAAACAAAATCAGGATGCAAAACTAAACAAAGAATATACTTGTTAAGACAACCTCATAACATATTGAAGCAATACTGAATTCATACAAAACAACTTTCAGAAAATCTAAAAGTCAAATGAAGGAATAAATCAAATACCAGGTATCTTACCAGGTGTAGGTGGTTTCTCAATTAGTGTCACTGTAAAACTAGCTTTCTCTTCTCCCAAATCATTTGTAGCTTTACACACATATTTACCACCATCTTTAGGTTTGCTCTCTTTGATAATAAAGATGTGTTCATTGGTGTCTTTATCAAAGGTCACAGTGTATTCATTGCCTTCTTGACAGTGTTTCCATCCTTTGAACCAGCTCACAGTTGGAGTTGGGATGCCATGGACTTTGCAGCGAATTTCAGCAGGATAAGCTATATAACAATTAAATAACATAATATCATTATAGGTAGGTTTCAAATGAAATGACACAAAATGTAGAGAACTTATGCATCTCTATTAAGGAACATGATTATAAGTAATCTACTTGTCTATGATCAAATCTACTTGTCAATGATCAAATGGATTTGTTTATAGTAATTACATAAGATAAACTCACCTTTGACAGCTTCTTTGTCTTCAGGTTTAATGACGAATGTTGGTGGGCATTTAGCAGCTGAAGTAAAAAAAACAAGTAAATAAGATATACTGATTGTGATAGATAACTTAAATAGTGAACTGAACTAAGCATGGGAACTTATCCATATTTAACAATCAATAATACTAATAAATAACTTACGCAGTACAAACAGTTCAGCTCTGCAGGTTTCAGATCCTACTTTATTCACAGCCTTCACTTCAAATTCTCCTTCATCGTCCATACTGACTTCTACAATTTTCAAAGTACAGATGCCACTCTCACTGTATTCTACCACATAATGGTCATCTTCATCGATTTGGACACCATCCAAATACCATGTCACTTCTGGTCTTGGAGATCCTGTCACTTCACATTTGAATATAACACGTCGTCGTTCTTCAACTTCTTGTTCTTCAATTTTTCTGACAAACACTGGTGGTTCAAGAGCCTTTTCAATCTCAATGGCTTCTTTTCTGGCTTGGAAACCTCTGAATGCAGCTTGAATCTGAACAGCAGCTTTTTCAACATCTTTGTCTTCTAAATCAATGTCAATAACTTCCTCTTCGTCTCCAACTGGTGCTTCAATCAAATCAGCCTCTACTAAAGTTGGTTTGGGTTTCTCTTCTGGTGTCAGCTCCAGTTCAAAGCTTACTTCCTCTGATGGCCTATCAAATTCAACTTCAGCAGATGTAACCTGTGGCTCTTTTACGTCTTTTTTGAACTCAAATGACACCTCTTCCATTTGTTGTTGGTCAATGGAAACCTCAAATTCAGCTTTGGCTGGCTTCATCTTCATTTCAATCTCAACTTTCTCTTCACTGACTGGTTCTACCTTCAATTCAGCCTCTACCACAGCTGGTTTGGGTTTTTCTTCTGGTGTCAGTTCCAGTTGAAAGCTTACTTCCTCAGATGGTCTTACAAATTCGACTTCAGCGATGTAACCTGTGTCTCTTCTATGTCTTTCTTGATCTCAAATGACACCTCTTCCATTTGCTGTTGCTCAATGGAAACTTCAAATTCAGCTCTGGCTGGCTTCATCTCCACTTCAACCTCTACTTTCTCTTCACTGACTGGTTCTTCCACAGGTACTTCATCCTCAAGTGTAATCTCTTCCTGGATGATAGGTTCTTCTTCAACAGGTTTCGCAACTTCAACTGTTATCTCTTCTTTAACTATTTCAAGAACTTCTTCTACAGGTTCTGGCTCTTGTACAGGTTCTATAGAAAAGTAATATCATGTGATATGTATGAAAACCTCAAAACAATAAACAGTGAAGACAGAATAATAATTAGATAAACTTTTGTGAACATACATTAACATGATATGTCAAATAGTTGATATGGCCTTAACAATGTGTTTTACCACCAAGATGAAATGTCAAAGTTTAAATTATTTACAACTTACACAAACCATTAATTTCCTGAATGTTGATAGTAAGCATTCTAACTTGTTTTCGCAAATATTGTGATGATGGTATATGATTGGTTATTCTGTTGAGCTTACTTTACACATCAGCAAGTTTTTAGGCGTAAAAAACTAACATTAATCTATGACATATAATGCCATTCTACTTACCAGGTGTTGGCGGCTTTTCAATCAATGTAACTGTAAAACTGGCTTTTTCTTCTCCCAAGTCATTTGTAGCTTTACACACATATTTACCACCATCTTTAGGTTTACTCTCTTTAATAATAAAGATGTGTTCATTGGTGTCTTTATCAAAAGTCACAGTGTATTCATTTCCTTCTTGACAGTGTTTCCATCCTTTGAACCAGCTCACAGTTGGAGTTGGGATGCCATGAACTTTGCAGCGTATCTCAGCAGGATAAGCTGTAAGACAAAAGAGTTTTAACATTAGAAACAATTCACTGATCAAATAGATTGCCATTGAAATATGAATATATATATATATATATATATATATATATATATATATATATATAAAATATATGGTAAATTAAATACATGAGAAAAAAATCGTGCATGTCATGTAACAAAATAATAGTATCAACACAATCACTTGATCATTTCATAATAGTTTCTTTTATAATGTTGATATATTTTTGTCTTATTCACTTCATACAATGTCTACATTAACACCAATTAATAGCACCCACCTTTGACAGCTTCTATATCTTCTGGTTTCTTCACAAATATTGGAGGACATTTAGCAGCTGATTAATATAAAAAGGTACATGAGATATGAAAAGTCATTACTTATCCAAATAGAGATGTTATCAGAGTTTACACATTTATGATGCATATGGTTCAAACATTTATACAAACACAAATGTGGGAATGCTTTGATCAACTGCAGACTCATGGTGTACAACTCAGTCAGTTATCAATGGAACATTAAAGAGCCAAATGATTGTCAACTGAAGAATAATATTATTCAAGAACATTATCCTAGTATTCAGCAAAAATAATTTTAGCAAAGAACTTACGCAGTACAAACAGTTCAGCTCTGCACACATCAGATCCTACTTTATTCACAGCCTTCACTTCAAATTCTCCTTCATCATCCATACTGACTTCTGCAATTTTCAAAGTACAGATGCCACTCTCACTGTATTCTACCACATAATGGTCATCTTCATCTATTTGGACACCATCCAAATACCATGTCACTTCTGGTCTTGGAGATCCTGTCACTTCACATTCGAATACAACACGTTGTCGTTCTTCAACTTCTTGTTCTTCAATCTTTCTGACAAACACTGGTGGTTCAAGAGCCTTTTCAATCTCGATGGCTTCTTTTCTGGCTTGGAAACCTCTGAATGCAGCTTGAATCTGAACAGCAGCTTTTTCAACATCTTTGTCTTCCAAATCAATGTCGATAACTTCCTCTTCATCTCCAACTGGTGCTTCAATCAAATCAGCCTCTACTAAAGTTGGTTTGGGTTTCTCTTCTGATGTCAGCTCCAGTTCAAAGCTTACTTCCTCTGATGGTCTTTTAAATTCAACTTCAGCTGTTGTAACCTGCGGTTCTCCCACATCTTTCTTGCTCTCAAATGAAACCTCTTCTATTTGCTGTTGGTCAATGGATACCTCAAATTCAGCTTTGGCTGGCTTCATCTTCATTTCAATCTCAACTTTCTCTTCACTGACTGGTTCGACCTTCAATGCAGCCTCTACTACAGCTGATTTGGGTTTTTCTTCTGGTGTCAGCTCCAATTCAAAGCTTACTTCCTCAGATGGTCTTTCAAATCCTACTTCAGCTGATGTAACCTGTGGCTCTTTTACATCTTTCTTGATTTCAAATGACACCTCTTCCATTTGCTGTTGGTCAATGGAAAGCTCAAATTCAGCTTTGGCTGGCTTCATCTTTATTTCAACCTCTACTTTCTCTTCACGTACTGGTTCTTCCACAGGTACTTCAACCTCAAGTGTAATCTCTTCCTGGATGATAGGTTCTTCTTCAACAGGTTTGGCAACTTCAACTTTCATCACTTCTTCAACCATTTCAGCAACCTCTTCCACAGGTTCTGGCTCTGGTACCGGTTCTACAAAAAAGGCAACAAAATATTCACTAAATAAATAATCTGAAAAGATTCCATTCCACAAAAGAAAGCAATATTTCGAATATTAACAGCTGACAATAAAATAAACCATAAATAATGAATTTTCTATGAAGTGTTATTTATGTACTTTATTGCATCATGTGTGGTATGATGTTCAGTGTGTCTGCCAAGTATTGCGTATTTCACTCCTGTGGTCAGCAGCATACTCAGCAATAAAAAAAGTGCATGCTGCACAATTGCCAAATTTGCACACATCTAGTTGGGTTTTGGTATACAAAACAGGAGACTGACTGACTGTGTTTGCTTTTTCTGTCTTCAATGCATGTTAGAAGATCAAAAAATTCTCAAATAAAGAGTCACAGACATTCTGTGGCATTATTGGCTTGTATGACTCAACCACAAAAACAGAATATGTGAAAGTGTTTGGCATGGACGACAGTATGATTCATTTCATCAAAGCTACTTACCAGGTGTGGGTGGTTTTTCAATTAGTGTCACTGTAAAACTGGCTTTTTCTTCTCCCAAGTCATTTGTAGCTTTACACACATATTTACCACTATCTTTAGGTTTGCTCTCTTTAATAATAAAGATGTGTTCATTGGTGTCTTTATCAAAAGTCACAGTGTATTCATTGCCTTCTTGACAGTGTTTCCATCCTTTGAACCAGCTCACAGTTGGAGTTGGGATGCCATGGACTTTGCAGCGAATTTCAGCAGGATAAGCTGTATAATAAAGAAAGCATAGTTCAACACATACATCAAACATAGATGCTGTTAGGTTTGTTCAGTACTTATTCAAACAGGACACTATCTCATAACACAAAGACATTGATTTTCAGAATGTGATTACACATCATATTAAGCTGCATGTCAATCTTCTCTGTTTCAAAAACTTTCTCTATAAAAGAGAAAACAAACCTTTGACAGCTTCTATATTTTCTGGCTTAATCACAAATGATGGAGGACATTTTGCAGCTGAAATATTGAAGAAAAAAAAAACATGTTACAAACATGAAAACAGTGAAAACACACCAACTACATTCATTCTACCCAGCAACCAAAAAACTTTGAAGATGCAGGATTTACACACATAATCTTGACAAAGTGCCTCACCACTGTTAGCACATGTGTACCTTGGTGTCAGTAACTGCTCCGAAAAATTTGCTTCAAAAAGCATGAAATAAATGCAACTAACAATGACTAGACGGATGTGCATAAGCCAGATCACTGATGTCACAACCTACATACATATAAAGCCAATAATTCAGTCAGTAAGACCTACCCAGTTATCATTGCCCTCAGGACAAGTTCATGTCCACCAAAAGATATTAAATTATGACAAGTTCATGTTCAACAGCAGTAAATGATTAATGCCAAACTTACGCAGTACAAACAGTTCAGCTCTGCACACATCAGATCCTACTTTATTCACAGCCTTCACTTCAAATTCTCCTTCATCATCCATGCTGATTTCTGCAATTTTCAAAGTACAGATGCCACTCTCACTGTATTCTACCACATAATGGTCATCTTCATCTATTTGGACACCATCCAAATACCATGTCACTTCTGGTCTTGGAGATCCTGTCACTTCACATTCGAATACAACACGTTGTCGTTCTTCAACTTCTTGTTCTTCAATCTTTCTGACAAACACTGGTGGTTCAAGAGCCTTTTCAATCTCGATGGCTTCTTTTCTGGCTTGGAAACCTCTGAATGCAGCTTGAATCTGAACAGCAGCTTTTTCAACATCTTTGTCTTCTAAATCAATGTCAATAACTTCCTCTTCGTCTCCAACTGGTGCTTCAATCAAATCAGCCTCTACTAAAGTCGGTTTGGGTTCCTCTTCTGGTGTCAGCTCCAGTTCAAAGCTTACTTCCTCTGATGGTCTTTTAAATTCTACTTCAGCTGATGTAACCTGCGGTTCCCCCACTTCTTTCTTGATCTCAAATGAAACCTCTTCCAGTGGCTGTTGATCAATGGATACCTCAAATTCAGCTTTGGCTGGTTTCATCTTCATTTCAACCTCAACTTTCTCTTCTTTCATTGGTTCCACCTTAAATTCAGCTTCAACCACATCTGCTTTGGGTTTCTCTTCTGGCGTCAGCTGGAAGCTTATTTCCTCTGGCTTGACTTCTACTGTCGTTGTAGTTGTAGTTGTTTCAACCTTGACAATTTCTTCTACTGTTTTAGTTTCTGAAAAAAAATCCAAGACAGATAAATGAAGAAAATAGTTTTTTTTTTCAAGTAATACTCCATAGAAGATTATGTAACCATTAATAAAGGAGAATGTTGACACTAATTTCAAAATTATTACCTTTGCTAATCACAAATATGTCAGTAGAACATGAAGCAGAACCGAAGTCATTTGTAGCTTTACATGTGTACTCAGCATCATCATCTTCTGTCACAATGGGTATAATCAGGGTACAATTGCCTTCATCATCAGTAATAACAGAGTAGTGTGGGCTTGGCCTGATCACATCCTCGTCCTTATACCAGCAGATATTAGGCATTGGTTTACCAGCTACTTTACAATCTAATGTAGCTTGTTCCCCTTCTGGGACCTCCACTCCAGTAAGTTCCTTCACAAACTTAGGTGGCTCACCGCTTGGTAGTTCAAGTTGGAATTGTACCTCTTCAGGAGCAGTTTCTATTTCAATCTTTTGTTCAGTAACAACTTCTTTCCTCTCAACAGTGATTTCTTTCTTTATTTTCACTTCTTCCTCTTCTATAACATAAACATAAGATACATTGCATTGGAGTTGCATTAACTTACAAGATCCTAAAATAAAGGAAGTTGACTATAAAAAAACAGCATCACTGCATATTATCATTCCAATATTGATGGATTTGTTGATTCAAACTAATAATATTCATTAAGAGAAAGCTGTTTAACCAGCATATTTACACATATGAAACAATAGAATGAATTGCCCTGTATATGTAAGGGCAGACAGATATCAAAAAAAGTTAAAGGGCGCCATTTAACATTTAGAAAAAAAGCTGACATAATAAGAATATGCTGAAAAAAATAAAAAAACAGTAATTTAAAGAAAATGTAAAAATATTAAGTTTCTAGCACAGGTTTGATCGATCGATCACCCACTCGCAAAGCAAACTAACTAACAAACTAACTAACCACTAAACTATGACGTTTCCCTAATAGACAAAATACACTTAAAAAAACTTTAGTCACAAAAAATATACAGTTAACTATTTTTAGAATATCAACTCCAAAATCTATACAAGCCAAGTGCACCTACAATCAGTTTGATATTTTTGGAGTTATCACGCCCACAATAAAAGTTTGTCAATGGCGCCAGATGACAGTGATTTTGCCACCTCTTGTAACTTTCACTTCATAACGGGAAAGCCAAAAATACATTAAAATATGCATATTAATTGCTTCATACCTTCTCGAACATTAAGTTGTACAGAACATTTAGCCTTTCCAACAGGATTAACTGCTTCAATTGTAATTGTACCAGTATCCTCAGGGAAAGCTTCTGGTAGTGTCAAGCTATAAACATCAACATCATCATGCTTTGATATAAAGACTTTATCATCACTAACTGGTTTGTCATCATGTAACCATATAATATCTGGTTTCGGTTTACCAATCACTCGACATTTGAACTCAGCCTTTTCTCCTTCTGTGATTGTCTGACTTTGAGGAAGTACAATAAATTCTGGAGGTTCCATTGGTTCCACTGGCAGGGGTTCTATAGAAAGAAGATATTGGATGAATTACTGAATAATGTATGTACCAAAAGAAATCACCATGCATCATGCAGTTTACTGTCTCTGTAGTCTAGCACTAATTTTATGACTTCTTTAGTGAAATAGCTGCATCATATGAAGTATATTTGACTTGTTTTTATTCCAGATTTGTTAAGAAAATTTAACGACACTTTTGTTATTTGTCAATAATTTGTAAAGTAAGAGGAAATTGATATTACAATATTTTATTTACTGATGTTGAAAAATACACAAACAAATATATACCAAATATGATATTTATTGAAATATGAAACAAGTTGATAAAGGCAGATTTGATAATGATAAAATCAAAATCAAAATTTCATAAAAGTTAACACAGCTTCAACAAAAAAAGACATAAATGCTACTCAAAGCTTGAACCTCAGTACTGTTCTTACAAAACTGAAAAAACAAAATTAAAACTGATGCAAAAAAACATAAAACGAACAAAATAAAAGTGTGCAGATAAACCCTATAAAATAGAAATCGTAAACCAGGGAAAATATTGAACTCAAAATTACCCAGCTAAATACATATATCCAAAGTGCAATCTATAAATCAGGAATGTCATTAGACATTTCTTGAACTTGTGACTGTTATATATTTATGTATGTGATAATTTACATGTTATTGAAATTACCAATTATTTTATTCAGTATATGCTATATGACAATTATATAACAGTGAACACATACTGATTTGTGATGATTCCAATTATTATCAATATTAAAATTGTTTTAAAAATGGTACAATGTATCAATATTTGCTACTGTAATGGTAGTTTTCATTGATACTTTTCTGATCAAACAATCTGATTATAATAAGATTATTTTTTAAACGTTTTATTTTAATTGATTATTAGCTGGTATCCAAACATATTATTATGTAATAAATAATAAAAGAAAAAATATAAATAAACAATGAAATCAAATTCTACATCAGATATGACAGACATCAATAATTGGTCATTTCAATAACATTAATGTAGGCACTCAAAATGAACTAGAAAAGTATGTGCGAAAAAATGCAGCAGCATTATTTTTTAAATTAGCAGGAGATTTAATGATGATATATCTTAGTTAACAACATCACCTGTAGTACTAATAATGCCATGAGTGACAAGAGGTGTCACGCCTTTAGTCAGGATACAGCAGGTACGCCTCAATGCAGCATGCTCTGATACTCAATGAATAAGTCATACAATCTAAGTATTATCTAGTTCTATGGCATGGATGAAAGGCACTCAAACAACAGCAATTAGTCAATCAATGAATACAATGATAAGGACATAGGTTTTCTTCTGCTCTCAAGCATTCTGCACTTCTTGGAAGAGTTATTTTACAAATCAGAAAATATATCAGCGTACCACTTGTACTTTACAGCAACAATCAACATGAAAGACATGTGAAGCCAAATGGTATTTTACTGTATTAAATATGTTTCAATTGTAGTACAATACATTTATTGCTTTTAATAATTTATGAATTATACCTGAGAGCAAAGAAGAGAATCTGATATCCCACTTGAAGATGTATATTATACGATGTATGATGGAATTATTATATCAATGCTTCAAATTAATATTTTAACATACATGGGAATCAGCAGATTAATGAGGTTATATTTATTATTATATTAAGTGGAACTGAGGATGATCACAGAAAAGCAGGAAAATATTAGTAATATTTCTTGGAGATTAAATTATAGCAAAAATCAATAATCTAATGTAATTATATAAAAAACACTGATCTTTAAGGATCAATCTAAATGTTATGTGATGTTAGCAAAAGATGCATTTGATTTGAAGCCACAATGCTGTAATATCTTTTTTGCATTATATCCACATCTCCCAGCACACCCAGGTAATTATCGGTATTGAAATGGTAAAGTGTGTAATAGTTATTAAGGTTTGGGTTGCTTTATACTGTTAGAAACCATCTTGTCCCAAACATCCAACAACATTAGATCATTGATTAGAACTTAATATATTAATGGCAGGGAACAGAGGTATTTGTTGTGGTAGTACAATTATCTGTACACACCCTGATATGACATGGGTGAATAAAACAATTACAGGTAACAATACCATACTGGAATGAAAAAATTAGTCCTATATACACCTAAATATGACCCCGGAAAAAAATTGGTAACAATGTCATGTTATACACCTAATGATGAACAAGTTTACAACAATAACACAGTGTGAATACATATATCAATGAACACATCATGAAGTATTAGTCTGTAGAAAAAGAAAAAATACGACATACATCAGTTAGGTCAACAACTGTCTCATTGCAAACTATGAAACTTGTAAAAGAAAGGGATATACACTTAATTTGAGTAACAATATATTGTATAACTCACCTATGACACTTAAATTCACTGAAGACGTTGTCTCCCCTTCTTTATTCTTGACTTCTACTCTGTAAATGCCAGCATCATCAAACGTCACATCATTTATCTCCAAAGACAAGAAATACATGTGGACATCTGCATAAACACTCAAGTGAACACGTTTTGTGTCTTCTAACAGTTGGTCATTGTGATACCAAACAACATTAGGTCTTGGTGCAGCAATCAGTTTATACTCAAAGCTAACATGCGTCTGTCCTACTGGAACTTCCTTTGGTTTACCAACTTCCATGAAAGCTGGTTTGATTCCCTCTGGCTCTTCTAGTGTTGATTCCCTGTGAAATTGAATGACAATATGACATATTTTTTATATATCTTTCATCATATCTCCATAACTTGCAGCATTCTGTAATTTTGTGGTATTGCACAGGGTATCTGCATTCCACCTTATTTGGAAAGGTAAATTTAAAATATGGAACAAATACATATTATTTCCAGCATTGCAGTTATGGACTTCATACACCAAAGTCAGATAGAAGAATGCAGTCTGATACATGCTCGGCTGACCACTGCTATGCATGAACAACTTTATGTTTACATATAGGTTTGATCACGGTCCAAGGGGTGTGATCTAACCGACTTAGCACTGGTCATTCAACCCGAGAAAAGATTTGTATTAGCCAATTAAAGAATGACATTTTGACAGCAATCAAATTTGTGAAAAACATTTAGTACATTATGTTACATTAACAAAATGTTGCAACGATGGCCTATGTGCTGCCAGTAGTGTCAGTTGAATCGAGCATAACTCAATGGAGACTTTGTATCTGATCTACATGTTATAAATAAATTGTTACAATTATTAATTTATTAATTGTTACATATTACAATGATATGACCAAATATGCACTTAGACGATATGCAGTTGCATAAAAATCCACTATACAACAGCCTGTAGACTGTCCGTATGTGCATAGCAAAAAAAATCAGAGATAGAGTGAGATTGAGCATCCGATCATACAAATCATACAATACAACATTTACCTTGACAAGGTCCTTCTCGACACCAGAGTTTCACTGCTCTCAGCATCGGACAGGGTAACTGAAATTGAAAAAAAAACATGATGTGAAAATCAACTTTGCTTTTTATTTAAAATTTTCAAATGAATGATTTTGACTGAAATGATTTATTGAATTGACATGTGGAATAAACATGTAAGCTACTGTTAAGAATAAAAGGCTAATTCTTAACCAATCACAAACTTGTGTTTTGCAGTCCAGTGGCAAGCATTCAAAATTTTACTAACTTGAGTTATCAATACCTTCAACAAGTAGTTCTGCACTACTGGAAGCCATTCCAGCTTTATTTTTCGCAACACATGTATACTTTCCGGAATCTTCTGGGAAAACTTCTTTGATAAGCAAAGTACAAATACTACCATTGTAATCTAACTTGAAATCTTCAGAATCAGGTATCATGGTGCTTTGTCTGTACCAAGCTATAGAGGCTTAGGATTGCCTTCAACGCGACATTTCAATGTCACAGGTTTGCCATCTTTGGCACGTGTAGTGTTCAATAAGTCAATGAAGTGAGGAGGAACAAGATCACCATCAAATGGTTCATCTGAGAAGAACGTGATTCATAATATTATAAAAGGTCAATACAAATAAAGATGCACATGCAGCATTCAAATTAAAATTATAACATTGAACGATACAAATTCTACATAATAATATGAATCAAACAATATTGTACTATAATAATAATGATAACATTAATGAAAACAAAAAAAATCATTCACTTCTAAATTATACAAATTTCGATCAGTTTACTGTTATTAATCAAAAACATCTAACACTACTTTTCAATGGGATTCTTATCAGTAAGCTCATTATTTGTTGCTTTGTTGTTTTTTATTATTATTATTTGACATGTGTTATGCAGATTCAAAGATGGACAGGCAAGTCACATCTCAAGAATAGTTTTCAATGGCAACAAGTTTGATTTTACTGATAGATATATTAGCACATTAGTTTGCTTACATAACTAAACACTACAAAATCACAAACTACAAGCAGCGTAATGTAAGCAGGTAAAACTTGAACAAGAATGTTTACCAGTTGTTAGTTTGTCACCCATTCCAATGGTCATACCTTCTCCCTCGGGCAGTGCGGCCATACTCTCAGCAAGCTGGTCTTTCAAATGTTGCTCATACGTCTCAAGTGTTTCTAAATAGGAGCCGGGCACCCAACCTTCTTCTCCATTTGGACGGCGGACTAACCACCAATCACCATGGTTACGTTCAATCACAGTGAGTTCTTCACCTTCTCTTAACGACATTACTTCATCAGTCTCAGCGAGGTAGTTCCCAATAGCAACATAGGCTAGTGAAATTTCTTTCTTTTCTTCCTGCTCTTTTTCTGCAGATGAATTTAGAACAAGTTTAGAAACAAGATGTCAAATGAAAAATCAAGCTCTTTAGAAACCCTATAAATAACATAAAAACTTCTCACATTGCAAAAACATGCATATGTATGTACAACAGTGCAAATGCCATTATGAATGAGAGGATCAATACAAATAAAATAAACATTATAGCCTACCTTCAGTCACTTGTAATTCTTTCTCAAATACAACTTCCTATGATGTAAATGTATTTAAAAAAAGAAAATTAATAGAAATTATAGAAAAAAAAAAAAAAAGAGAACACAAAATACAGTGAGAAAAAAATTAACAAATGCTGTGTTTTCACAGACATACTGTCAACTCTTATACATAGTGCAAGGAAAAGTAAATGCATGCCATAATAACTCTTTCATAGCCACTGTGCATGTTCATCAAAAGGTGATACAATTTGGTGTGGAAGACATGGCAATGAAAGTGTTACTGTGCTGGATTCCATTACCTGTGTCTTTGGTTCAATCACAGTGGTTTTAATCGTCTTAACAATGGTCTCAACACCAGTAGGACTAGTGATGATCTCCACGATCTCTTCTTGAATTGTCTCTGGTTGTTTCATGTGTATAGTTTTCTAAACAATAATTTATTGATACTGATCATCCATGCTATACATGGTCAGGGCTAGTGGATCAGTTTTGAGCTAAACACACTTTAGTTGTGGTAGTTCGTGCAAGTGGTAGTGCATGCAAGTGTACACCATACATTCACATATGTGCACACATTATTCCATCTCTTCACTTTCACACAAATACAATACATGTTTAGAACAGAAACAACAAAGTATTTAGTGGTCTAGTTGTATTGACCGCTAGTCTAGTATGACCACTAGTCATACAGGTTGTTGCTATGCAAAAAACAGTTATTCAATTTGGCAGTCATCCCCAAAGTTAGCATGTAGTTTGTTAACAATTGTTAACTGTGATAGCATATCACAACACATATATCCACTAAAAGGCACATATTAAAAATAGTACAGCCTGTATATGAGTGTTTGCCCTTCTAACATTGGCATATGATCACTCGCACTCGAGCACAGTTGCCAAAATTTGGTCAGTCGTATATGAACCACAATCATGTATCTACATGCATTATTTGTAGCGAATTTCCAGCCTAATTAGTGATTAGCTCACAAAGTTGTAACAGCTCTAACTTGACTGTTAGTTATATTTGTGTTTAATAGAGCAACATTTAAATCTTTTTTAATCTCTACTATTTTGTTTGTTTTCATATGATTCAGTTTCCTGTTTGGAGACAATATCAAAAACATCAAAATAACTGCAGACACTACATGTTTCTGAAGTACGATGAACACTGTAAGAGTTACTAAGCTTTATATTAAAAAAAATCTTTGACAATACATTAGGTAGAACAGTGTCTCTCTGAAGGCAGGGTCTAGTGAAAACAAACTAGAACAAACTTCTGCGTACAAACCCCAAAAAGAGTCAATCATGGTAAGTAAGTATATTAAAATACACAACATTGATGACAAGTAAAATGTTTTTTTAAACCCATATATATGAATTAGACGTGAATGAGAACCATGATTCATACCTTTACAGTGTCAGGCTTTTCTTCAATGGTCATTTTAGTCACTGTAACTTCTTCTTTTGTAATGGTTTCTTTTTCAATGACTTCTTTATCCGAAGTAACTTCTACAGTGAAAAATGACAACAATTGTAAGCAGCTATTTTATAGATAAACTTTTTCTACACTTTACTCGTATGTCATTCCACAATAATGAGTAATCTTTTTCTGAATCTTTTCTGATAAATGAAAACCCAGACATTACTTTAATAATGCTTATCGATAAAGGAAACTATGATTATTTATAGTGCATTAGTTGTATATATGAATACACTGTACTGATATATACAAATAAAATGTGATTTTATGGATTTCTTGTTGGAATCAAAATTAGAAAACATCAGAATCAGCTAAACCTACAATATATTGTGTGAATAGAATACATGACAAATGAAATTTACAACTATTAATTATTACAATGGTGTGGTGTTCTCATGTCAACTGTTCCAAGATTCATAAACTAGCTTGGTCATATCTCAATGCATACTAAAATGTATTGTCAAACAGGTGAGTTGAGAGACACCAATATTAGTACAAAGGGGAAAACAAGAAAATGAATGATTAGGAGCACAGAAAATAATTCCATGCCAGGTATGCTGCATTAACAAAGTAGGGGAACATTAACAAACATAAATATTGACTTACATGCATTATATACTACAAGACAAAAGCACCGATATATGAAGAAGTGTATAAAATTCAGAGTGATGTGTGACCATGTCCATGTTAAATACATAACTTTGTGTGTAAAGCAGTATGCCATGGTAACATTCAATGACAGCCAATGCATTTCAGGCTGCATTATCAACATGTGATTATTATTACATGATATTTAATTTCACTACTGTGCATGACGCTGAGTAAATATGCCACCAAGAGGACAAAAAATACCGTATTTGATCTATTAGAAGTGCACATAAAGAACAGATTACATTTATTATATACTGGATGATTCAAATATAATTAATTTTTACCATAGACTTGTTTATGTGCGCTATCAATAGAGAAAATATGGTACGTAAATAAAGCATCATAGATTTGTCATCACATGCATGTATTACTATGACTTGGTTCATCTCTGATGGCGCAACTGTCATAACAGCGAATGGGAATGCCCAATGAAGCAATGATGCGGCTTACAATGATGATTTTACAGACAGGAGAGAGTAGATATAGCGGGGTACAAAGGACAGATGTATGATTGAAAGAAATCTAGTCTAGGATTGATTCCAAGTGACTCAAACCTTGTATGGTCAGTGTTGCTAATGTTGATGTCATTCCAGCAGGATTAGTTGCTCTGCACTCAAACTCTCCAGCATCTTCAGGAAATACTTCCTCCAATGTGACAGTACAAATGCCGTTGTCAAAAGTTGTGGAGAATTCTGGAAGCTCTAATAAATTTTCACCATCACGGAACCAAGTAATTTCAGGAGTTGGCATTCCTTCAACTTCACAAACCATCTTCAGTGGCTGACCATCTTCCACTGTGGTTGATTTTAATGGCCGAACAAAAGATGGTGGTAGCAATGTTACTTCTTTTTTATCTATATCTTTAACTTCTTCTGTGTCATCGCATACTCTCAATTTTAGTGTGACTTCTTCAGGCAGTTGTTCTGGTCCCTCAATATCAATATCAGCTGTTGAAATATCGGGTGATGGTATAACAAATTCAGAAGGTGGTGATATCTGTACTGGTCTGTCAATTTCCATGACTTCTGATGTTACAGGGGTGGTCAAAGTAATAACATCATCATGTGGTTTAACGACTTGCTCAAAAAGATCCACCACCACAGGAGATGCCTTTTCTTTATCATCAAGGTGCAATGTGATGTCATCAGGAACTTTGGAATCCCCTTCAATATCAATCTCAGTTGCAGAAACCTCATGTGATGGTATCTCAATTTCAGATGGTTGTGACATCTGTATTCTAGAAACATCGGTGACCATGGGTGTTGGTTTTTCCTTCTCACCAACTTGTAGGTGCAATGTGATGTCTTCTGGAAGTCTGGAATCATCTGCAATATCTATCTCAGTAGTGGAAACCTCATGTGATGGTATCTCAATTTCAGAAGGTTGTGATATCTGTATTCTTGAAACATCGGTGACCATGGGTGTTGGCTTTTCCTTCTCATCAACTTGTAGATGCAATGTGATGTCTTCCGGAAGTCTGGAATCATCTTCAATATCTATCTCCTTTGTTGAAACCTCATGTGATGGTATCTCAATTTCAGAAGGTTGTGACATCTGTATGCTTGAAACATCAGTGACCACAGGTGTTGGTTTTTCCTTCTCACCAACTTGTAGGTGCAATGTGATGTCTTCCGGAAGTCTGGAATCATCTTCAATATCTATCTCAGTAGTGGAAACCTCATGTGATGGTATCTCAATTTCAGAAGGTTGTGACATCTGTATTCTTGAAACATCGGTGACCACAGGTGTTGGTTTTTCCTTCTCACCAACTTCAAGGTGCAATGTGATATCTTCT